ATAATGTTAAGCGCCAATATTGCTGTTGCTGTTAATATCAAAGCAAGTAGCCATTTCGAAATCAAAGTTAACGATGATATTTTTACGATTTAAACATTAATATTGTCTTTTCGCTACGATAGCCTGTCGCAAAAAAGAAACAAAATCATATCGTTTTTTATTAATAAAATGAAAAGAAAGACCTACAGTTTATGCTAAGCAACCTCCGAAAGGCTGTTGCAATTTTATAAGGAAATCAGATGCCGAAATACACACGTAGGGCTTGATACTCTCTGCCGACGGTCTACAGCAATAACCAAACTCTTCTTAAGCCACCAGACCGATTTTTATGAAATTTTTGTATGTATTTCTGTTGGGTATGTAAACCAGCCAAATTTTAGTTTTCATACCGGTAAGTGGAACAGGTGCGGATTTGTTAAAACAAAATTTTATTTATGGTTTGATTTAGTTGAAAATTAGTGCATAGATAGCCTCTGGCATAGCTTAATTGGATCCCTACTTTTGTGAAAGTTTAACAGGGACTGATCTATGTGAAAGACACTTCTTTATGATTCGATTTATTATATGAACATTTTGTAATTTGGACCGGAACAAGGAGTAGGGACCACAGTTCTGATTTTTTTGGACCATTCTATAACCCTATAGCTGGAATCATCTTGTTTATTATTCCATTCTATTGAAACTTAATGCATCGGTATCTTATCGTTTAGATTAATGGTCCGAAAATGGGTATTTATGGTTTAATTGGCTTGAAATTTTTTTCTTTTCGAGTAGTTAACCGGACACCGAAAATTTGCAAGGAAATTGTATTTATGGTTCGGTTTGCTTAAACTTTTCTTTCCTGAAACCACTTGGTTGGGGATAGACTTATTTACTTAATTAATACGTGCTATTGGAGAAAAAGCGCGGATAAGAAAGTGAAGGTCAGTCTTTGTCCGTCTTTATTGTTGTTTTAGTTTGTTCTTGCAACGGAAAACTACCACATTGTTTTACACTGAATTTGAGTTCATTCAAATATCTCACATTAAAATTTAAACTATCTATATTTTATTATCACTCTGGAGTTAACCCAAAAGCATGGAATTGAGGTGAGCCGAAGTTTGTCAGATCCGTTAATTTTCTATAATTTTGAAAGTTGTTTGAACCAGGAGAGTGAAAACCTGGCTTTCCGCAGGCTCCTACGTTATGATCCCCACACGGTTGTAGCAACCATCACTAAAAATTTATTAATTAAAATATATATATATATATAAATAATATAAAATCATTAAATTTAGTATAACACTTTATACATTCTAGATTTTAATTAAATGCACAAAAAATTTGAGTCACAAAAAAAGTGCTAATTGCATTTAAGAGCACTCATGTTTTGAAGTCATAAAATTTTTTAACGTATCTATTTAATGATTTTAAAAGTTTTGCTGTTAGATTGAAGCCTGAAAGTGCACAAGAACTAAAAATAAAAATACATAAACGAACTGAAAATGAACTGAACTAAATTTTAAGTACCAAAACATCATAAAAGCCAGTAAAACAAAAAAGAAATTAAAAGAAAAGAAAAGAGATACTCGTACATACATATTTGCATATACGAGTCTAAATGTATATTATCGACACTTAATGTTAATAATAGTTCTAATGAACAGCTTTTGGAAGAAATTAAGTGGCATAAATTTATGCAAAGCTTTTTTTTGTATTTTTGCAATATTTCGGTCTAAACTGGTCCAGTTGTAGATATGTATGTGTACGTTAATTAATATATTATGGGATGTATACAATTGAGTGCAAGCATGTTGTTTTATATGAATTTGTGTATATTTGTTGTTGTATTTATAAATACATTAAATATATTACATATGTGCATATTTTTCGTTTGGCCTAGTGCATCGCTTACCTTCTATTCTAAAAGGCATAGCTGAGAGATCCACAAAAACTAAAATGATTTAGAAGATCTTGGTTTGTTGTTCTTCTGAGGAGCAATTGCTGGGTGCTACGGCTGTTAAAAATTATAATAATTTCCGGCTAAGCTGATTAAGCTCAAATTTGCTTTCGGTTGTTGGCAGTTGCCAGGTTAGATTGTTACAAAAAAAACTATATTTTTAATTTCATTTTCTTGAAATTCGGTACATCGACCGAAAACAATTTCTTAAGGGATGTGTACCTGAAACTGATATGTTTGAAATTTTTGGCACATATTTTTTTTTTTTTGTATTTGGAAACCGATCTGCACATTCACCACCTCAAATTCGATTGACTTTTTTTTTTTTTTTATTATTACTCTAAACTTTATTCGAAAGACAATAAAACTTTTGGGGCGATGGATTGTCGGCTGAGCTTTTCAGTGGGGAATGAAATAGTGCATGCATCAGCTTCTTCGCAGAATATAGTTGGACGAAGGGCTGCCCGACTGCGGCAATAACAGTGGGATAAGACTACTCAATATCGCATATAAAGTTCTAACGGACGAAAAAACTGAAAAACTAAACCCCACCGAGCACAATAAATATATTGAGATGACCTACAATTACCTCTATTGCCTCTTTGTCTGAGCTTGGTATATCTGCAAAACTTATTAGGCTGTGTAAACTGATGTAAAGCAACACCAAAACTCCGTTATGATCGGGCAAGGCTTAATTGAGCCGTTCGATACTAAACGAGGTTGCAGGCAGGATGATTTATTATCGTGTGAGTTTTTAATTTATTGCTGGAGCAAATAATAAGAGCGACAGAGCTGAATAGAGAAGGTAAAATCTCCTATAAGAGTGTACAACTGCTCTCATACACCGATGATATTGACATCATTAGCCTCAACAACCTCCAGAATGGATAAGGAAGGGAAACGCATGGTTCTGGTATTGAACAATTTGCCATCAAACAAAAAGTCATCCCATGGTTTTGCGTAAGGTGTATGGTTCTATCCGTGTTGTAAACGGCTATTACCCCTGCCGATAGAAGATGGAGCATATTTGCATATGACACCTGTTACTATGGGTAGGGTAAGAATACTCTAGCTTTGAGGGGTCATTCAGTGGTTTTGTATTTTATTGAGCCTCCCCAAAGAATCTCTCTTTCAAGCTACCGGACTATTGTTTTTCTCTTTTTCGTTAACACGAAGGCAGCAAAGCAAATTCAAAATTAATATAGAAATATTTCTTATTTCACCTACAGTGAGTCAGCAATAAAAGATCTTTACAGAAGATGGCCAAACAGAAAACAGAAAATCTTTCGTATGTGTCCTATAAGTAATATAGATATCGAGGCAAGCTGTAAGACGGATAAACTTTCTAAGGTACGGTTAAAAATACTTATCGAAAACGAGACATAAAGTAATCAAGAAACCTGTATTTTTTAATAGAGGACTCTTGGTAATGGGAGTTCTGAAACGATCCAAAAAACCAAGAGTCTTTGTAGAAAATTCTATCGGAAGGATCATGAAGAAGTTTAAACGTCATCAACCGGCATTGAGAGTAGCTTTAAGGTTGAGGGGCGTGCCAAACAAATTGGTATGCTTTTAGCTACGTGTCGATTACTTTTTAAGAAAATTTCCTATGAATAGGCTCTGTTGGAGACTGGGGAAATGGGACCGAAAGAGATGAAGATAAATATAATACTTAAAAAGAGACAAAACCTGCGCAAAATAATAGGAGTTCTGATAGCAAAACATGCAGAAAGTCTAAAAGCTTCTTATAGAAGATGCCGCACGAGCTGCAGAGATGATGATAAGGAGGAAAGGAAAGGAATATCAATTCCTTACTTTGGGTAGTGCGAATTTTAAAAATTTTTCATTCGTATTGCTGAGTAGTCTATCGAGATAGCCGACGGCAAAGTAATTAATTTCAGGTTCCTTAGAGAATCGAAATTACTGGACCTTGATATTAATACATTTTATCAATACATAGTTGTGATTCGAAAACAAAAACTTTTTCTTTGTTTCTTTAAAACATTTATTTATGTACAATACAATATATAAATTTTTTGCTTGTAGAATTAGCGTGAATACCAAACTAAGAGAAGTTTGCTGCTCTTAAATTCATAGGACAGCCTTCTGAAGCTCGCTCTTTTCTCACTTACTTCTTCTTCTCCTTGTCTTGTTTCTTGTTTCTTCTCCACTTTACATCAACTCCACACAGGCCTGCTTCTGCATACCTCCACTTCATACGTAAGCTGCATTGAAAGCTCTCTTGCAGCTCAACGGAAAAAACCGAAGTAAACAAAATCAAAGCCCATATGTATACTCAAGCGAAGACTGTGAGGGGCGGAGAGCCATGGATCGCTATGAAATGTGAGTAAGCTGCCGCTCAACCAAGTTACCTGCACGGCAACAATCCACCAACGAAACGAAGCGTAGCAGCAACATGTGTAATCAAAAGCGCGCTTAAAGTGCAATGCAGTGGCGAAGGCGGAGAGCGAGCTAAGACGGGAAGGCGACATACTCGTATAAGACAAACTCAGCGCTCAACTTTAAATTCAGCACAGCTGTTTGTGACCAAGCCAACAGAGACTGAGTGGTGTGAAGAAACAGAGCAGAAAACATAAAGCAGGCAAAGGAGTAAGCAAGGAGAGCGCTTAAGCTAAAAGCCAAAAAAGCTCTTAATATTGGCCGAAAGCCAACTTGAACGAATGACTTGAGCAACGAACGTGGCCTAGTATACCAGCTAAAGAAATACACGCATACACATATATAGACAGACTTACGAATTGCCAACGGTAATAGCAAATGCTAGGAGCTGTATATATATACATATATACATACTCTTTTTCTATATAGACAACATTGTTGCTGTTGTTACTGTTATTGCTGGTTACTTGCTGTTTGCTGCCTTTGCTCATTAATTTTACTTTTTTCCTTGTTGTTGTTTCTTATATTTTTCTTTTCATTTATATTTTTTCGCTTTTTCTGCTTGTTTCAACGTTGGTTTGCTGGTTTAACTGGCTGTTGCTGGCTCTGCTGGCGGCTTTCGGCTGGTGAGTGGCCACTTGCTGCAGCGTTGGGCCAACAGTTGAGTCGCGAAAGTCGTCGAGTGCGTTTGCTGAGTGTGGTTTTCGGTTGTCGTTACCGTTAACGTGCGAGTTTCTAACAAAATTTTGGATATATTTTCATTAATATCGCCGTTGTTGTTGTAACGTGTCATTTACTTACGTACTTACGCTTGGTGGTTTCTTCAGCTGGCGGAGTCTGCATCGCTTCTTCATCGATGAGTAGTGCGTGTGAGCAATATGTTATTATTGCAGTAACCTGTAACAACAACAACAACAGCAACTAATACAAGTGTGTATTTCTATATATATATTAGAAATATATATGTGACTATGTGCGTGCATGCGTGCAACAAGTGTATTTGAAAATATTCTTTGCTTTGGAGTTTTTGTGTTGAATATGAAATATGGAAAATTTTCGAAAACCCAAAGTAAAGGAAAGAGAAATTTAGCGACATTGCAATTGGTTATTCTGAGTGTTGACAATAATAAAAAATATAATGTTTTTAAAGAAATGCTGCTGCTGCTTTGCTTTTTAGAAGAAGTGTTAAGAAAACTATAACAAAAATAAACAATTTAATAATCAAACTGAAAATTTTATGAATAACATACTTTTATACAATCTGCTAATTCCATTTCTAAAAATGATATTTTTCAAAATTTCCCAAATTACTTTATAAGGAAAAATGATTTTCAAGCTTTTTTGGCAACTAATCTTGCAAACAAAGTGGAATCTCCTGCAAAAATTTTTTTTGTCGTTTTGCGAATTACATTTTATTTTTCTTCTCTTTCTTCTTTCTTTATACGTCAAACAATTCGGTAATGTCCAAAACACTTTAGAAATAGTGACCATTCCGGTTGGTTATTTCTGCTGTGAAAGTTGGTTGCATGTGTTCAGTGTCATTGATGCCAACAACCACAACAACAATAACAAAGAAATAACAGAAATTAAATAGAGCAACAACAATAATATACAATACTGCAGTAATGATGAAAGAAAAGTGAAATGATTTTCAAAATGAATAGCGTGCAAGTGAAAAATTAATATTTTTTAGAAAAATACTAATTAAATGTGCATACAAAGAGATAATAATAATAATAAAACAAAATAAGAAATTTACAAATTTATAAATAAATGTATGCAGGCAAAAATTTACAATTATTAACCAACCCAATAATTAATAAATTTAATTCTGAAACCATTAAATAAACAACTAAAGAAATATAAATAAATATGTTATTTATTTAAGTGAACAAAAGACAATCAAAAAATTAATAAAATAAATTAAAATAAAGCAAAATAAAATAAAATAACATAAAACAAAACAAAAAAAATAATATAAAAAAAAAATAAAAAAAATAAAATAAAATAAAATAAAATAAAATAAAATAAAATAAAATAAAATAAAATAAAATAAAATAAAATAAAATAAAATAAAATAAAATAAAATAAAATAAAATAAAATAAAATAAAATAAAATAAAATTAAATAAAATGAAATAAAATAATTTAAAATAAAATAAAATAAAATAAAGTAAAGTAAAATAAAATAAAAATGAAATAAAAAAAAGCGAAATAAATAAAATTAAACATAATAAATTAAAATAATAAATATGTTGATTAAATAATACGTTATTGCATTACTGAATTCATATTAAATTCTTTTATAAATAACCTACTGCATTTTAATATTTCAAAATATTTTTGGTTAAAAATTTGCTTTGTGCAACAAGCTCCGCAAAACCAACAGCTTAAAGTAAAATATGAAAAAATTTGCAGTCAAGAAACCAGTTAATATTACAAAAACAAAATACTAGGTAAAATGATGTGAGAAATAAAAACCAGAAAACTTTTAAAACCACAATGCAAGAAAAACGAGTGGAAAAAATCAGCAATAGAAATAGAAAAAATGTACAAATTTTAACAAACAACATATAATTACAACAAAACAGGTAAATGCGAGCAAATAATACATAATAAACATAAGCACCGACATCAGCTGCTGAACTGAAAAGCAAGCAACGACATACATACATACATACAACGAATTACAACAATAAACAGCACGCGCAAATTGTATGTAGTTTCTTGATTTCAAGGAAAAAAGTGAAATTAATTGGTGGTGGCTGCATGTAGGCAACCAGGCAGTGGCTGCAGCAACAAAAAGAAAAAAAAATACCGACATTATAAAATTTGCAATGACAACACGAATGTATCTAGCCAGCATTTTGCAAAAGTACGAACAGCTGTTGGATGGCGAATGGCAAAACTTCGTAAAATACAGTTTTAAGCTAAAAACTCCGACTCACCTAGAAAACCTCATACCCTAAGCTGAAGAAAGATCTTTTGAACAAAAACAATGCCTGAAAAAAAATATTTGTTTATGAAGAAAAATTTACATAAACGAATAGATAAATGAAAAATAACCTAAAAATGGGTGTTTTTTTTAATGTTTTCACTTTACTTATAAAGAATTCCTATTTATTTTTGAATATTTCTTTTTCCACAGCTAAATATTATACATAATTGTTTTAGAAACCGCTCGCTTGTCAAATAAGTAACCTCTAAAGGCGGTGAGTGCGTGTCTTTACAAGTGCCAAGAACGAGTATTTCTCGTGATAATAACAAAAGAGAAAAAAAAACTAAAAACATCAGCAAATAACTAAAAAATAAAAAACTTAATAACTACAAATCAGCAGAGAGAGAACAAAAACAACGGAAGCAAAAACACAAAATTTAGCTCCACATACTTCAGAAACAACAAGAAAAGTTATATTTATATATATACACGAAAGGTAAGCCTCAAATGCTAAAAGTATAAAGTAATTGCAAATAAACAAAAGTTATAAAAATACATAAGAATGAAATGCGAGGCATAGAAATCAATAAAAGTATTCAAAATAAATATATGACTCTGAATTTAGCAGTATTTACTTAAATATAAAATGGAATTACAATGAAAAAAAATTAGCACTAAAGAAACTTATTTAAATGGAATTAAAAATATATAAAATAAAATAAAATAAAATAAAATAAAATGAAATAAAATGAAATAAAATAAAATAAAATAAAATAAAATAAAATAAAATAAAATAAAATAAAATGGAATAATATATATGTACATAGCTGCCCTCCTAATGTATTTCTGTAATGAAATAAAGATCCTCATAAGAAACCATCAGCCGTTCGGAGGCGGCTTAGTATAAACTGTAGGTCCGGGCTCGGCGGAAAATCGCTCCAGCGGTTACAAATTATTTTTTATATAAATATATATATATATATATATAGTTTATACTAAGCCGCCTCCGAACGGCTGATGGTTTTTTATGAGGATTTTTATTTCATTCAAAAACACATTCGGAGGCATTGACATTCTTTGCCGAGAGCCAACCGCAATAAAAAAATTGAACTTAATTTTTAATTTAAATGAATTTTCTATAACTTTTGAATGTAAAATAAAACAAAACATATTAAACAATAAAAGCATATTAATTAAAATAAAATTATTGAAAATGAAAAACTAAAATAAAATAAATTAATTTATTTAAAATAAAACAAAAAATAAATGAAAATAATGAAATAATAATAAAAAAAAATAACGTAAAGTAAGATAAATTTAAATAAAGAGAATTAAATTAATTATAACATATAGAGTAAAACAAATTAAAATAAAAAAATTAAACAAAATAATCTAAATTAAAATAAAAGAATTTTAAATGAAAAGAACAAAATAAAATAAAGTTAGCAAAATAAAATAAATAATAGAATAAAATAAATTAAAAGAATGAAATTAATGAAAATAAATTCAAATAAAATAAAAAAAAATATTAATTAAATAAAAAAAATTTCAAATTACAAAGTATTTAATTAAAAAGAAACAAATAGAATAAAATAAAGTAAATTTTAGTAATAATAACAAAAAAAAATAAATTAAAAATTAATAAATAATAAAAAAATTAAATTGAAAATTAATAAATAATACAAAAATTAACTGAAGTAAACTGAAAATAAATAAAATAAATAATAGAATAAAATAAATAAAAAGAATACAATTAATGAAAATAAATTCAAATAAAATAAAAAAAATATTAGTTATATAAAAAAATTTTAAATTACAAAATATTTAATTAAAAAGAAACAAATAGAATAAAATAAAGTAAAAATTCTGTTATTATTATTACTTAAATTATAAATTAAATTAAAAATTAATAAATAATAAAAAAAATAAATTGAAAATTAATAAATAATAAAAAATTAAAATAAAGTAAACTGAAGAAATAAAACAAATAGAAAATCTTATAAAAATTGAATAATTATGTAACTAGAATGAAATGAATTATCTCTTCAAATTCGTTGGGAAAATACTTAACCTTTATTTTTGGTAAATAGATATTGAATGAAAGTTAAATAAATTATTAAATCGCTCAAGGCAGAAGTATAAGAGGCTTAAAAATGCATTTTTTCTTAAATCCATTATAAAACTATCACAGATTAAGTCTGCAAAATTTCAGTGGCCTTATTACAAGCCAGTGCAGTTTAGAGACGACCTTCTGGCATGTTGTCCCGATATTTCATTTTTACACGTCTTCGAGAACGGTGATAGCAAAAAGAATATTTGTTCTCCAAACAAAAAAAAATTATAGTGATCTAGCTTCAATATTAAATTATTATTATTATCTATTCGAAATAAAAATAAAATATTAAAGTATTATTTGAATTACTCTTTTTTTGCAACTTGAAGTGAATTTTTTTTCAAAAAAGTGATATTTTGCCAACTGCAGCCACTTCAGAAAACTCATCCCACATTGGCAAATTCCAAAAAAATTTTTTTTACACTAAAAATTTGCTAAAATATGTCTTTTTTGTTTTCTATAGGATACTACTGCCTTAGAAGTAAAAATTGCAGTAATTTTTTTAAAATAGAAATTGTTTTTTTTTTGTTTTAATAAATGGAAGCTGGCTAAGAAAAACCTACATACCCACAGCAAAAAATATATTAATTTTTTGAAGGGTTTCTCTTAGCCTTACAAGCTTTTTGGCCAACAGGGCGTATACGCGATTTTTTGAGCTTCATTAATTGGTCTCACGATTTTTTTTCGCTCGCTTGTACTATTTTAAATTTTTCTGTATCTTTTCTACAGTCTTCTAGCAATACACCTATGCTTTAAAAAATTTCAAAGAATTATCAAAAACATGTACAAAATTAGTCAAATGTAAAGTGCTTGTGTGCTGAGTAAATGAGAAATATGTATTTTACTTCCGTCTTGTTTATGACGTGCTACGGTTTTGATTGTTTATCGTTTATTTTTGCTTTTTTTCTCATATTTTACTACTACATTTTCCGCATATTTCGAGGGAAAACTTTAAAGTTTGTATACAATATAAATTTATAAACACGCATACATAACCGAATAAGCTGTATGTGGAGGCAAAGTTAAACCGCAGAAGGTTTCATAACTCGCAACGAACAAGTGTTGGAGGCTGTGACTCAAGGTCGTTGCCGCCAATTGTTGTTGTGTCAGTAATACTGCTACAGGTGAACAATGCAATTAGGTAGTTGTCTATCTATTTGTCAATATGTCGAGTTGTATATCTGCGACTCGCCCATCTTTATTTCAAACATGCTGAGATTTTAGTTTTAAGCTGCTGTAGGATTGAAGCATACTGAGTACAGGCCATATAGGGTCACAGAGTTAAATACATATGTATGTATAGCGTGGCGTGGTGTGCTTGTTTCTTTCCAACTAACTGCAGCCTAAGCTACTTCATGTTAATCTTCTCTGCGTTATTGTATGTAAATAAAAAAGGTATTCAAATATCTTTACGCCCTCTTCATTATTTGTGATTGTTTGGATTTTCACTATGTTTCCACCTGCCTGTGTTGTTGTTTTTTTTTTTTAATTTCGGTAGTATCTGTTAGCTTACCTTAGTAAATATTTAAGCCCACACTGTACATATATATACATAGTATTGGCAAAACTCCGTTGCTTTTTGCGTGCATATAAATGAAGTTTGGCGCTTAAGTCTTTCATTTTCCTCACATATATTATACATACATGCGTACATACATGAGTTTGTAGTAATCCAAACGTATTTCATATGTCATGTCATTGGCCTATTGTGGCATTCGTGTGTGGTTGCTTCACTTATTGCTGCTGCTGCTGCTGACAAGTGCCGTATTTTTTGTTATTGTTGTTATCATATTTCATTGTGAATTAAATAATCACTGCCGGATTTAAATACGATTCTCACACAAAACCTTATTGCAACGCCATGAGCTAGTAATGATTTATATAGACAAACATGGATACATACATATATGTATATGTATTTATGTATTCTCACTTTATTCAGAGCGCATTAAAATATTATACCGTATTGTTGTTGTTGACTTTAGGAAATAATTTCATATACAGCTGAATTAATTTGTGCTTTATTGTCTAATCAAGTGTATTTTAATTATGAACTCAAATTAAACGTAAATTTTCAGTAGGAAGTTGTTGTTTTTGAGCGTATTTAGTAAAATAATTTATTGACTAGAAATAAATTTTGAAAAATGGAATATTTTATTCACATTGAATTGTGAGATTTATGCTTTGGAAAAATAAGTACAACTTTTTAATATCCAATAATAATAAACAAAAAATGCTGGGTTCAAGCCACAGCAGGAGTGTCGACGACTAAAGGTTGTTGTAATTTGTAAATGAAGCATTTGTGTGGTGTTTTTTGCTATTCTATCGAAAGAAAAAATAAACACTGAAAGTGCAAACCGACGATTCTTTCCCATTATTTTATACAAGAGGTTGGCCGCGACTTTGTCCAGATACCGAGCAGTCTGAACTATGAATACAATTTTCCCGAAGAGATTTTCACACATTGACCTTGACAAAGTGCCACCTATATATTAATAGAACCCGGTCCAACGTATCTGTTGGCCACTTCCTGGAAAAAGAGTATTCCTCATGTGAAATTAGACAAAGCGTCACTCCTGTACCAAATTTCATGTGAATCAAACGATTTAAAAATGAACTCGATTTTTTCGAAATCCTTTTCAAATTTTAGGTCTCCAAAATCACTGGTTTAGGTTGTTGGTTAATCCGTCAGTAAGTTAGGACCAAGCCTTTTATATATATAGATAAATTAGGTGTAGTAAAAAGTAATCCATTATTTTTGCATAAAAATAAATAGTTCAATTTTTTCTATTCATGTCCAGCCTTATTCAAATTTTTTTTTTTGCAATCTTTAGCACTTGTGTAATCGAAGCAGTGCTTTCATGACGATAGGACTCAACAATGAGTAGGATTTTCTCGATATTTTCGACGATTGGCCTTCCACTTCTTGAAGCATCTCTTACATTACGGAATGCAACCAGGATTGTGCGTGATTGACTGTAACAGTATCATCAGATATTCATTTTTCAGCCGCCGGGTTTGCGTTTTTGCCTTTATCTAAGAAAAACTGTTAAATAAAGCATAATTTATCTGCTAGTGTCCATCTTTGACACACGCTCAAGCAAAACTGAATCAAGCAATCACAAAATTGCCAGAAAAGCTTTTTTAGTACAAAAAATCATCTTTCTAACGCCGAAAGATGAACGCAATCAGACATATACAACGCGAGATACAGATAAATAACACAATCTA